CACCAGGGTATGAGTGGGGAACTGTACATGTTCAGAATGTGGGACAAGGCAAATATAACCCAATCTGAGGACTGCCAGGATAGTGGTGTTATAGGCTGGAGAAAGGAGGATTGGACCTATACCACGGCAGTAGAAGAGGATAACTCTTTGCCATGTGGTAAGTACCATTGCATTGCTTTTGAAATAGTGGTTTAGTCAAAAGTTTCTCTTCCAGATTTTACGAAGTCTCAATCTATTAATCATTCCTAGCTAAATTCTTAATGAGAACATGTGAAGACCTGTGGCTTTTGCTAGCTTTTGTCCAAATGAAGAAGCACAGCAGCAGTTCTTTACAAACTTTCAATTTGCTTCCACTTTTGTGTCTATCTACTGTCCATGTAATATGAGAGCAGGATGCATGCAACCCAAACATGTATCAATGTCATCTTAATTAATTTACACACCTTCTGTACAGTCAATAAATACAGAGGAAAGCATTGCTGATCCTTATTGTGCCCATTTGCTGGGCCAGAATTTCAACGAGTGTAACTTTTTGCTGCTTCTCTGGCACATTACACCATTTTCAGCTGGTATGGTCTACATCTGTAAAAATTACTGGAGGCTTCTTCTTTATCAGTAATGTCTCCTTTATTAAAATGATCAAATGGTTTCTCACACATTTCTCAAAATTCTTTTCTTCCCTGGAAAAGAACCATGAAAATCTTTAAACCAAACCAAGAATTTTTTTTCAGAGAAATTGAGTTCAATCAAGAGAATAACCCTGTTTTTAGCTCTTGCTAGCCTATCTGTTGGCAAGGAAGACAAACTTGAATCAAGCTTTGGTGGGATCCAGTTTATCAATTGTAGTAAATGATATCTCCTAAAAGATTTTAAGGTGACTGGTTCAATTATTGTTTTCTAATATTTTTATATAGCATCCATGTTTCAGTTAAACTGTGGCACTGGTCTTAGTCTTCATCACCTTTATCCTTAAAAACTGTACCTATCTATTTCATGCAGATTCAAAATATCTTTTAGCTGTGTAATCTTATAACCACTGCCTGACTGGGTGGATTCAAAGTGTCTTAGTAAGGGCATTAAAATGAGATCAACAGATTTCTTTTTCTGGGAGAGAAAGCAATCTGTCCAACAAACCAGGACTCATGGATAATGCCCCTAGCACTGGTTTGTAAGGAATGAAATGCCTCTGCTGGCCCTGACACTGTAGTTGGGAGCACATCTTTGTTGGGTTGTGTGATTTGAAAAAGGAGCTGAAGAAAGAATTCTTTTATTCATGTGTGAACGTGTTTGAAGGAACACAGTACTAAAACTGAAAGGGGGAATGTTCTGGCTACCAGAGAAAAGTTTTCTACGAAGAAAACTTGAGAGAGATATGTCTGGATAGTGTGGAGTGGAGCATCTGATTCTCTTTCATTGGTACATAGGAAGGACAACCTCCTTATTTTCGGTTCCAGCATCTTCTGCCCTGAATACAGAGCTCCCTTGAGCATCACAGGGCAGCTTGGTTAGGCAATGCCCAACTCCAGCCCCAACTGATTAATGATTTTAGAATTCATGATTTAGTGGCTTGTGGAATGTTTTGTCTATCTGCAAGAGCTCTCTAGTGAGTGTGTAAGATGCATGGTTTCCAAAGCTCTGCTACTCAGTGAAACTGCTGACAGGGGCTTGTTTCAGTGCAGAGACCATCTCTACTGCCACATATAAGTTATCTCCTCTAGATAACTTGGGAGATTAAATGCATTTCAAAGAGAAGCTCACTGGCTTTTTTTTTTT